AGTTCTCTAATAAAGACAGAAAACATGAAAGTAAGCAACTGGGAAAAAAAATACAATTTTGCATGCTAAATGGGAAGACATTATGGACTCCTGGTGTGGTGCTGTGGGTTAATGTGCCAGTCTGCAAAGCCATTTGAACTGCAAGGTCGGCAGTTCAAGCTCATCAGCTGCTTCTCAGAAACCCTCCACAGGGTCGCTATGAGTTCAAACTCGATTGAAACTTAAGAACAAACAACAACAACATGAGAAGATATTTGTTTTGTTGTAAAGGCTCTGGGAAACTCCTAATAAATTATCCCTGTGCTTTGCGGCTTTATCCAAATGCTCATATCCTGTGCAAGAAGAAACAGATAAGATCCTGAAATCTTGGGTTGAGTTTAGATGATGAAATTGAAAGAAAAGAGTACTGAAAATTACACTCATAACCAAGGCAGAGGAAAAGCCTGAGTATGTTGAATTGAAAAGTGGCTAATAGTCCACCATAGTTAATAATACATTAGCTGCTCTTGACAGAGGTTACAAAAAGGCACACCAGGGGCTAATCCTTTGAGTGGAATATAACACAGGTGCTCCCATGATTATGAATAGAAAAATAAATAAATAAAATTCGCCATTAAAAAACTAGTCATTTTTTACACATTATGAGTCCATTAATTTCTGGAGCAAAGTCCCAAATCCTCAGCAGTACTACCATTCAAAGGGAGTACAAATCCATCATAAAATGGAATGAATAAATCTCAATTATGCCCCCTACCTTCTGACTCTCTTGTTGTGACTTGACGAATCTCAGACTTAAGCTATGGACCAAAAGTTACATACTGTGCAACTAATAAGAACTGGCTGTCAGAAAACTCTGCTCTGTGACTATTTAAATTAGAGTCAGAACTGGGTCCAGATTGTTGGCAAACAATGATGTTCATTATTAAACCAGAAATAATAAGCTTACTATTGTCTTCTCAAACTCATCCTAACCAGTAAGCTATTCTAGAACCAAAGAGAAAACTACAAGATAATTCTGATACCACGGTTTCTAAAAAACAAATAACTCTTAAGAGGAAGGACAAAATGATCAAGTACATGCATTTGGAACTTGGGGAGTAGGTACTTTGTTTTTTTATATATACTCTGGGAAAAAATTACATTGACCTAGCAATTTTATGGCATGACATGAGGTTTCCATGACATGATGTCTTCATGGGTCCATTTTTCACTGTACCAAATCAAACAATGCATTGCATTATATAAATGTGCTACACAAGACCTCTTTTAAAGTGTTCAAAAGCAAAGATGTCAGTGTGAAAACTAAGCTGAGCCTGACTCAAGCCATGCTATTTTCAATAGTCTCATATGCATGTAAAATTTGGACAATGAATAAGGAAGACCATACAAATTGAGGTATCGAGTTATGGTGTGGAGAAGAATATTAAAGCTACCAGGGGCTTCCTGAAGAACAAACAAATCTGTTAGAAGAAGTACAGCCAGAATGATCCTTAGAAGCCAGGATGACAAGACTTCATCTCTCATATTTTGGACATACTATCAGGAGTGACCAGTCCTTAGAGAGGGACATCATGCTTGGTAAAGTGGAGGGTCAGTGGAAAAGAAGAAGACCCCCAATGAGATGGGATGGCACAGTGGTAGTAGCAGCAGCAATGGACTCAAGCGTAATAATGATTGTGAGGATGGTGCAGGATCGGGCAGTGTTATGTTCTGTTGTGTTTAAGGTCGCTATGAGATGGAACCAACTTGATGGCACCTAACAACAACAACATGTCAGTGTTTGGAATAAAGCAAGACTCAATAAACATTTCTGGAGCTCGGTAAGTCATGAGGGAAACGCTGTCTTTGGCATAGGTTGTAGACACTACCTATGTTGTAGTCATTCCCTTACCATCACCATCCTTCTCAAAAAGAAAGGACTATAAAAACAAGAACCAAATTCAAAGTGGTCACTGAGTATATACAGAGAAAAAAGATAGATTTGCAAAAAACAAAAATGAAATATGAAGCAAGATCGCAAACCTTACTAGTCCCTTGTACAAATGGATTTCCATATAAACCACTGTCTCGTCTTTCTCGAAATTTAGCGTAGTAAAACAAATTCTTTCTTTGTAAACTTATCCTTTCTTTTGTGGCCTTTCAGCTTTCTCATTAAAAAATATATATTTTAAATCACAAGAGTGATAGGTTCTCATTATTAAAAATGATATAATAATTTAAAAGAATAAATGGCTCCTAGTCCTAGTGTGGCATTGTTGATGAATGTGCTAGACTACAAAGCCAGTTTGAGTTGAAAGGTCGGCAGTTCAAGCTTACCAGCTGCTGCTTGGAAACCCTATACAGGATTGCTATGGGTCGGAACCGACTCAATGGCACTTAAAAACAACAACAAAGCCCTAGTGTGGCACTATAGGAAAAACACTTGACCACGAGGTTGGTGTGAACCACAAGGTTGGCAGTTCAAGCTCACCAGCTGCTTTTCGGAAACACTATACAGGGTTGCTATGGGTCGGAACAGACTCGACAGCAGTTAACAACAACAATAACAATTCTACAACCTAGATTCAATAACTATTGACATTGACTTTGACGATTTGTCACCAAGGAGTTCTGATGATTTATCACCTAACGTCTAAATCCTTCCTCAAGTCTGCTACTCATCCTACTAGCTCTTCCTTAAAAGTCAACACTGGAAGGAAGTAACATAAATTACATTTAGTGTAGCTGCAGCTGTTTTATTTAATTGGACGGTACACATTTCCCTTGTTGTTCTCCAAATCCAGCTAAAACCTATTTTTCATTGTGAACCACATGCACGGAGATTGTTTCTCAGAAAGTCACTAGACACTGATGCCTGCCTTTGAGTTTTAAGCACTGGATCTAACGATAAATGCCATTTTCTGTAATGTTAAAGAAGTTAAAAATATTCCAGGATTTCTAGAGACCACCTTCAGAGTCAATTAGCACCTGTAAATTTTAATCCGAATAATCATTTAGATAAAAAAATCCATTCATTCAAACGTTTACACTTTACTACATTGTCAATATAAGAAGATAAATCATTTGAACTTTAAAACATATAAAATTGAGTCCGTTGGTATACAGATTATGGTGCAGAATGATAATGAATTAGGGAGAATTATTCACTGGTTAAAGGGCAGATACGAGTTAACCTGGATGATAGGGAAGGCAGTTATTAAAAAAATTTTCAAAAGAAAGAATTTATGAGGAAAAATCTCTCCCTAGCTCTCTTTTAGGTAATGAGTTCGTTTCAGTGGAATAATAACTGAAAGGCTGTTTAAATCATATGTGGGTTTTATCAAGTCTCGTTAGCTGCAGTCCAGTCTCCTCCACTATGTGCACAAATGAATGAAATGTCGTCTAGTCCTACGCCTTACCCATGATTGGACCAATGTGAATTATAGAGTTTTCATTGGCTGGTTCTTAAAAGTACAGTGCCATGCCTTTCTACTTAATGTGTTTTAGTCTGAAGTTCCATTGAACCCTGTTCAGCATCATCATAACAAGCACCCTTCACTGACAAACAATGGTGGCTGCCCATGAAGTGCACTGGTTGGGAACCAAACCCCAGTCTCCTAATTGAAGTCGAATATACTACCACTAAACCACCACGAGTACCACTTACAACGTTTTAGAGGCAGCATTTTATATTCCTAGGGAATACAATCTGAAACCTTAATCAAAATTTGTGGGAAATATGACTCAATAGAGTCCTGGTGTGGCACTATAGGATAAACACTGGACTAAAGGTCAGCAGTGCAAACCCACCAGCCGCTCCTCAAAATTCTTATACAGGGTCACCATGAGTTGGAACTGACTTGACAACACTTAATAACAACACATGATTCAATGCCTAAATCTGTGCTTAATTCATGGAGTTTCTTATGATGAAGAAAAAGCTAAGTAAAATGAGTTACACCATGATTATAAATACAATTTGTAAAACACCTTCAGTGCATTAGGCTTTTATACACTCTCTATCTAGTCTTAAAGGAGCTCTGGTAGCGTAGTGGTTACGAATCGGGCTGTGAACCTCAGGGTCAGCAGTTCGAAACTAGCAGCCATTCCTCAGGAGAAAGATGAGGCTTTCTGCTCCAGTAAAGATTTACAGCGTCAGAAACCCTGTACAGGGTCGCTATGAGTCGGAACTGACTCCACGGCACATAACAATAACAACAACAACAACAACATCTAGTCTTAATCTCAAAAAGTAGGCATACAAATGAGATAACAGAGGCAAAGAAAGATGAAATCACTTACCCTTGGTCACCCAGCTACTAAGTGCCAAAGCCAGGATTCAAATCCTGTACTGTCTGACTCCAAAGCCAGAGCTCATCAGTAACTGACTATATAAAAGGAAAGCAACCCCCCTGAGTTCTCCAGTTCCCATGTGATGTATAGAACTGAACAAGCCCAAGGAGGACCCAATCTGTTACCAACTGCTGTTAGCACCACATGCATCTCCAGGGGGTAACATCCTAAGCCACATCACACATACACAGAAACACCCTCTGGAGGAGAGAAGGATGTTTAAAAAAAAAAAAAAAAAAGGTTCTCCTATGTGGTATTGTCTGAAGTATGCTGTGCAAAACAAGACTGTAAAATGGGTAACAAGCAAAAGATGTCTCTGCAGAAGCAGATGTTAGAACCTATCCCAAAGACAATGACCCCCAACTTGGTACATTGGAATCACCTGGAGAGCTTTTTAAAATAGACAGATTTCTAAGTCATCTAGAGATCTGATTTAACTGGTCTATGGTGGCGTTCAAGCATCAGAATTTTTAAACGTTTCCTTGATGATCCTAATAGATGTGCATTGATCTCGACTGTCAGAGGAGGCGTGGTACCCATGTGAATGTGACTCTAAACCCAATGATCAGGTGTTTCCCTTGTTACATGTATCTGATAAAAGCTGAGGCACTGAGAGGAGAGGTTCAGAGGATAGACAGACAATCAGGGCTAAATCTGAGCCGCATTACCTGCGCTGTGTCTTCCATCAATCCACGAATCTTCTCCACTACATCGTTGCGCCGGTGTTGGCGCAGGGCGCTGATTAACTGGGCAAGGCTGGCCTCGGGCCCCCGGATGGTCCAGTGCTGCAGAGCTGCGTAGGCCCGCTCATGGTCCGCTGTGTACCCATTGGAGAGGGCAGCCACCTCCCTCTCACTCGCGTTGCACAGAAACTGATAGATATCCTTCCACTGGCTTCCAACTTGGGCTGCTACAAGCTTCAGGATGTCAATACCTAAACCAAACATAAAATAGATAAAAAATCTAGGCATGTGAAGGAAGGTCTTCAAATGAGGCTTTACTGAACCGGAAGAAGCAAGCTTTTCCACTGCCATATGCAGAGGCATGCTTTGCTTTCCATTTGTACCTGTTGCAGCCTATCTTGAGAACAGGTATTTAGTAATAGGTGATTAGTAGGTAGTCTCTTACAAATTTCACTGGGAGAACACAGAACCAGAAGAAGGAGGTATTGTGGTAGCATTGCCCCTAAAAGATGTTTGGAAAGTCAAACCCAAATAAAGCAACTTGTTTGTTGCTACTAAATATGGTGCTGGGGGTAGGAGTGGTCGTCATGTGTCCTCCAGGTGGTTCCAACTCATAGGGACCTCGTATAGGGTTTTGGAGGCTGGAAATCTTTCCGGGAGCAGAAAGCCTCATTTTTCTCCCCTAGAGTTGTTGGTGGAGTCAAACTGCTGACTTTGCAATTAGCAGCCCCTCTCATAACCCACGACTCCACTAGGGCTCCTTGTACTAAATATAATAGTAAGTAGCTAAATTAGACTAAAAGAATGGTGGCTCTTTGAACTTTAGAAAAATTTAAGGCACAGATTAAAATTGCAGGAGTTTATCCAGCACTGTCTAGAAAACGGATGCTAAGATTCTGGGACTAGGGTCCTTTATGCCAAAAGACTGACAATGAACCCTGAGGGTTTAGCTCAATGGAGACATTCCTTATAAATGTCTAACTCCTCTAATTCTACCCTCAATAAGCCAATTTTCTAATCTATTATTCAGTCTCCTAAATTGATGTACATGTTAATAATGAAGACAACAGTCTAATCGTTAAAATTAGTGTTAATACTATGTACTACAAAGTCCTGGTGTGGCACCATAGGATACGCACTGGACCACAAGGTCAGTTTGAACCTCAGTGTTCGCAGTTCAAACTCACCAGCCATGCCTTGAAAACCCTACACAGGGTTGCTATGAGTCAGAATCGACTCAACAACGCTTAACATTGATATCACCATTAAACATATTTCAGGGCCTTGAGCAAGGCATTTAACAACAATAACAAACAGACTTGAGAAACAATGAGATACTACTGTGAAATATGTGAAGAAAGAATGAAAAGAACCATACAGACAATTCCCACTAGTTTTCTATGTGAAATACCATCCCTTTCAAGGGATAATCCCAATGATCCAGAATCTCCCATAGTTTCCTCCATCGACAAAATGCTGTTATCCAACTCTTCCTCATCATTGGAATAATTTTATGATTGTTGTTGCTAAGTACCATCAAGTCGGTTCGACCCATAGCAACCCTATGTAAGGTTTCTGAGGAGCAGCTGGTGAGCTTGAACCTCAGACATTACAGTTCAAGTGGCTTTGCAGTCTGGCACATTAACCCACAGCGCCATACCAGGACTCCACAATTTTTATGATTAGTGTATTAAATTATATCTGTAAGTTTATATGTAATATTTCCAACTCCCAGAGACAAAGATTGTGTTTCTAGAGACTGTAATAAAAACAAAGCCATTGCCTTCAAGTTAATTCCTACACACAGCAGCCCCCGTAGGACAGAAGTAGAGCTGCCCAAACAAGTTTCCAAGGCTGTCGATGGCACTTAACAACAACAACATTTACTGAAGCAGATGGCCACAGCGGTTCCCTGCAGAGTGGCTGATAGGTTTCATTTAGCAGCTGAGGGCTTAAACCATTGCATCATCAGGGCTCTGCTGATATTGGTGGTGGTGGTGGTTGTGTGTTATAGAGTCAGTTTCCACTTACAGCGACCCTGTATAGGGTTTCTGAGGCTGTAAATCATTACTGGAACAGAAAGTCTCATCTTTCTCCCTCGGAACGATTGGTAGTTTTGAACTGATGACCTTAAGGTTAGCAGCCTGACTGACTTGTAACTACTATGCTACCAGAGCTCCATGCTCTGATAATAAAAGGCAATAATAATGAAAACTGGGGGAAAAAAAAAAAAAAGGTAATGGACTTACATCAGAAACGACTTCCAGTGGTAGTAATCAGAACAGAACTGTTGAGAACTACCTACATAACATAATACTGCCAGGTTTTATGTTAATGTATTTAAATGAATTGATAGTTGAACATAAATTACCAAATTTGTAATTCTAAATCCCTTATTTGTAACCACTGTTACCTTCCCTGTGAGAAAGGGAATACCTCAACACGATGATTCTGCCAATTATTTACCCTGATAATTTAACATATTATCAGTGTCCATCTGTGTTCCCTAATTAGTGTGAAATGACCAAATCAAATTTTGGGATGTGCAAACTCAGCTTCTGGGATTGACCCTCTGTTGTTTCCTACCACTTTACAACACCTCCTATAATTAATTACTATTAACTTTGCCAGAATTTAGGCCTTGGGTGTATAATAAGCCTCTCAGTCAGGGCTCTGATATTTTAGCACAACTTATGAGTGAGTTTTCTGAGTTAACGCCCCTTTCTTCAAATGAGGCCACAACCGCATGCCTTGATACTTAACAATTTCTTGTAAACATTTCTACTCAGTAAAATTGGGTTAAGTCACCAGGTGAAATTTAGAGAAGAAAGGAAGCGAGTAGAATAAATAAATGCTTATCATTAAGGTTAACAGAATTTTTATTTTAACTAACGGTTAGCCAATAAAAAAGCAATTTTTTTCCCTCCAGTCAGTTGTTATAGAAAGCAAGTATAAAATACGTTATCATTTTTTGCCTAACACAAATAATTCCTTAAGCTTCTTTAATAATAGTAGACTCTGGTGTTTCATCACAAATCCTTATTCTTCCATGTATCCTACTAAGGCAGATGGTGGAGAAGACTGTGTACAGATCCTGGGTCAATACCTTGATACTGTTTTTAAAAACCAAGCTCCTCGGAGAAGTCTGTTTTCTAACCAGATGTCAAAGTTAGAATACCACAAACGGAGGTATTACTCCTTACACTATGTTTCACTGGAGGTTCAAAACCTAGTTCAACCCGCTGCTTTTCAATTTTCATAGCAATGTTTAGCCAGATACCGAGCTTTTGATTTCAAGCAAACAGGCTACTCAGAAAACCCGTGTCCTATTTAAAACCCTGCAGGTAACATTTCAGAACAAGCCAGGTCTTTGTGTTTGGCATGGTAGACTCCTCCAGACACCAAAAGCCTTGTTAGTCCCTGAATCTTAATTTAGGTCAATTTGACTAAGGCCCACAGTGTCTTAACATGAAAATATGACTGCGTTTTCATGTACAGAGGACCACTGCTTAAATCTCCATAATGCAGTAACAGTGTGGCTTTCGGCAAACCACTAACTGTCATGTCCATTTCCTCATTTGCACAATGGAGACATTCACTACAGTCCCCAGGGATGAGCAGATTAACATTTTCTATAGAGTTGATTTATTTTTGGATGTACCCCCATCATTATAAATGTTCCATATACTGGGCACTAAACCTTAAGAAAGAAGCCTCGGTGAAGCAGTAGTTGAGTGCTTGGCTGCTAGCTAAAATGTTTTCAGTTCAAATCCACCAGTCGGCTAGGTGGGAGAAAGATGTGGCAATCTGTGTCCACAAAGATTTACAGCCTTCGATACCCTATGGTTGACATGAGTTGGAATTGAATCCACCACAATTGTTTGGGTTTGGGTAAAACTTAAGACTCCTTGTATTTCAGATGCAAATATGCAGCCTTTAAATGCAAATATCCATACTTATATGTAGGATATGTGCATGCATGTGTGTTTATATACATACATGTATATATGTATACATGTATGTATTATTGTGTGCCATTGAGTCAATTCTACTCACAGTGACCCTCTATTGGGTTTCTGAGAGCAGCTGGTGGGTTTGAACTGCCAACTTTTCCATTTTCAGTCCAGTGCTTATCCTACAACACTACATTAGGGCTCCGGTATATATCAACATGTTGCTTTTGTATTCCGTGGAATTGGTTCCCACTCATAGCAACCCTGTATAGGGTTTCCAAGGTTGTAAATCTATACTGGAGCAGAAAGCCTCATCTTTCTCCCACAGAGCAACTGGTAGTTTCGAACTGCTGACCTTGAGATTAGCAGCCCAACTCATAACCACTATGCTACCAGAACTCCATATATATCAACAGACAGTTGATATATATATATATACAGTTGATTTTCATTATTTGTAGTAGTTACATTTTATAAAAGCATTGCAAAACAAACTTTTTGGGAATATACAGAGTAGGTTCCTATGAGCTTTTGCTTAAGTTTTCATCAACAAATCAATATATAACCTTGAATTTATGTGTGTTCTGCTTCAAGACACCTTATGTACCATAGAGTGTTGGTTCATTAGCATTGCATTCCTGGCCTGCAGAACTCCAACGCATTACTAAATGAAACTCATCTAACATACATATCTTTTCTCTGTAAAGTACACTTTTGCATTTAGCCAGTATTTCAGGACTAGACAGCCATTTTAAATATCAGAATCACCAACAAAAAGCACAAAATTTCTAAAAGTAACGCACTAAATGGACCACACAAAAAGGAACTTGATTAAAGTATGGGAGCTGCAACAACAAGGCAAAGTTGTTGCCACATCAGCTGAAAACATGCACATCGAGGGAATCGCATTTTTTGCAGATCTGCGTATGTCCTTGAGTGACCACAAAAGTCTGGCAAGTATTGATTTGGGGACTAAAAATAAAATTTCAGCAAGTGGGCAAATATGCAAATACAGAATCCACAGGACCAACTGTGTGTGACTAGATACAGAATTTTTACAGTGTTTTATGCTTTAGGAGAAGCCCTAGTTGTACAGTGGTTAAGTGCTTAGCTACTAATGAAAAGATTGGGAGTTCAAACCCACCAGCTGTTTCGAGGAAGAAAGATGTGGCAGTCTGCTTCTGTAAAGATTCCAACTTTGGAAACCCTATGGGGCAGTTGTACTTTGCGCTCTAGGGTTACCTTGAGTTGGAATCAGCTTAGTGGCAATAGATACACGTTTTAGTGGTGAAGAATCT